AATATGGGTTTTCTATATTTTCTGAAATTCGCCAAAAACTTGTAAGATATTGTCGATTAGGTCTTAGGACTTCATCAAATTTAAAGCGTTTAAATAGACTATTTTATATGATTTAATTTATAAGATCAAAATATAAAACGATCATGCCTAAAAGTATTAAAATAAGTTTATATAATGTCTATGAACATACGTCTTAACAAAAATTTTGGACACTTTCTATTAGATATTTTATAAGACATTTTTTTTAAATGTCCTATAAACCCATCTTTTTATAAGATACTTGTTTTTATGCGACACTTTTTCAAATAACATCAGAGAAATTTATTAAAATAGTCATTTTTAAGGTTTGTTTTATTTTTTAGTTATTTCTCTTCAAGTTTATTAAAATAGTCATAGGTCGACTCACGTTCGCAATTACGGACCTAGCTAAAAGATAAAAAAAAATACACTTTCTTTAACTTTTGTAGTCAAGCACAAACCAATCAGACACCACCCTTATGGTTAAGATTTGTATTTTTGGTGAATATTAATGGAAAAATAGAAGGGAAAATGACAAAACTAACCACTTTATACAACCCTCATACACAAAATAACCAGTTTTTAGGGTTTTTACAAAACTAAACGCACGGATCTCCCCCAGGGGCGATCCGTACTAGTGGGGGGGCGATCTGGCCTTTTTCTTAGATTTTTTTTTTAAATTTCTTTTTTTCCACTTGGGGCGAGCCACGTCATCGGATCGCCCCCGGGGGTGATCCAGACTTTTTTTTTTCTTTTTTTTGTAATACCAATTTCACTATAAATACCAACCTCCTATTTCATAATTTTTTCACACTTTTCCTTTCATTTCTCTTCTCATATATTCTACTCTCACAACCCTTAACTCATTAAACACAATAAACCATCACAAAACATGAAATCACGTCAAAGTGATGATGTTTGTATGTATCTTCGAAGTGGCGGTAACATTTATATATATAGAGATGCATTACGTAAAAAAAACGATATAAACGGTACAAAAATTGAAACTTCGTATTTTATACGTATATATGCATATTGGTTTTAACTCGTACGCATATTTACGTGTATTCATGTACGTTTTACGTACGTATTTTTAACGTATATATACGTACGGGTTTTAACCCATACGCATATTTACGAATCTTCACGTACGTTTTACCTACGTATTTTATACGTATATATGTGTACGGGTTAAAACCCGTATGCATATTTACGTATCTTCACGTATGTATGTACGTATATATGTGTACGTATGTATATACGTATATATATACCTACTTACATTTACGTAAAAAAAACGATATAAATTGCAGTAACGTATATATA